CATTTGTTTGCCACAGGTCGTTTCTGAACTCCGTAAAGAGAACTGTAACCAGCGCATCATCCTCCATCACGACAATGCGAGTTCTCACACCGCACACAGAACAAAAGAGTTTTTAGAGCAAGAAACATAGAACTATTGGACCATCTGCCGTACAGCCCCGACCTAAGCCCTAATGATTTCTATACTTTCCCTAAAATAGATTTTCATCACCTGAAGAAGCTGTGGACGCCTACAAGACGGCCATTTTGGAGACCCCAACTTCCGAATGGAATGGTTGCTTCAATGATTGGTTCCATCGTATGGAAAAATGTGTCAAATTTAAAATACTTCGAAAAGCAATAAATACATTTTTAAATAGTAATGTTGTGTCACTTCCTTGATTCCCGAAATTTTCAGTGCCGCCCTCGTACTTGTTTTTGTCTAGTTATTTATTTTTATTACTTTATTGTATGTCTCAAAAATAGGGCTAGACATATTATTATTCGAACGATTAGGTAAATTGTTTTCTAAATCAAGTGATGATGATTATTATATTATATTAAAATATTCGTTTCACAAACTATAAAAACTAATAGTTAGGGCGGTACGAATACTAAATCTTGACAGACTCACAGTCCGCACAGATTTCCGTGAAGCAAATGACTTGAGTCTATTAAACAAACAAGGTTACTATTTTCTGTGCAACCCATAATAAGTCTAAGGATAATTTGGCGGAAATATACCGGCTGAAATTAAGTAGATTTAATAGAGACCTTCTTTCTTCTCTAGTCAAAGACCAGACATAATAAAAATCCCTAATCTTACTAAGTCATAAACTAAATGAATTTATCAACAACGATTTTTGTAATGCTAATGGCACGTCATTAGAGGTGTCTATGTAATGGGAAAAAAGAAGATGGAACTAATATAATTATAAGATTATAATCTTAAAAACGTCATATGTATAAAGAGTTCAGCTATAAGAATTTTAGGACCCTCTTTATGCTAGTTATTACTCTGAGATTTGGAAATATCCTTAATTTTATTTATGATTTTCGATAGATGTCACTATTATCCACTTATGGTAAATGAAAAAAGTGACTTTCAATAAGTATTGTTATAACTTACATTGAATAAAAAAGTTTCTGTTTCTGTTTATGTAGTTACTAGCTTTTTACCCGCGGCTTCGCTCGCGTGGGCTTGAATTTAGAAACATCGATAATACTATTTCGTACTAAAATTGGCAAAACTGGATCACTTGCAGAGACACGTCGGTATCTATATTGGCAAAATCGCATATAAATATCAGACGTCAAGCAACACTTTTTTTATATTGGGCTTACGATGTGTCTTTTTATTTACGGAAAATTGGCCTGGAATCGGAAATTCGTTATTTACATAATATTCATTATTAAAGTTCATATAGTCTTGATAAAATAAGGTTTAATTTCATGGTCTTTATTAATATTGGCCCCATTGAATATTGATTAGCACCACATGCCGAGTAGACTTCAAAATTTCATAAATACAGTTCCATTCACGGAGAACATGTGAGAAGAAATAAATTCATGCAGCAGCGTCTTCCTGATCATAGCTCAAAATATTAAAAATATGCAGTTCACGCATATCAAGCGTGGCTACTATGGGAAATATCCAACTTTATTAACTATTGGAAATCCAATTGATGAACGGGAGTAAAAATAATATAGTTATGCCATCAAAACATAACTTCTAAAAAACCAAGTCTCGCAACTCTTCTATCGTAGAAAGTTGTGAGATCCATGTAATACCAAGTCAGTTAATTTATTCAGTCCCTACTTAAAGGACCTTCTGTCTTCAGTTATTACGTAATAGCTAACATAACATTTTATTGTGACTATATCAATATTAAAAATCTTTTATGTTTTAAATAAATAGATTGACTTGGGCCATCGCATTAAAACACAATGTGTCTCACAAGTAATACATATTATATTAAATTCGATTGCTGTTTATTTACTCATGTGAGGTATGCAACAGGGACTGTCACAAAATTTTTAATAGTTATGTCTGAAAATATGAAAGCTATCTTAATATATGACAAACTGCTTTATAAATCTTATTAAAAGTAAAAAAGGCTGCATCAACGGTATCACGAACTATTCCACCAAATATGGATATAAATCTCACAGTGCATTTAATTTTCAATCACTTATAACGGACTTGATGCATAAAGAAATTGGTGAAATATTGCTATGCCGATAGACACACAACATATTCAACTAAAGTCCCTATCTCTTAATCAAAGTTTTGTGTACACAGTTTTGTTAGTAATTTTGCTAAAATTGACAATTATGATAAAACATGCAGACAGTGGCCACAAGTCTATACCGGTCTGACAATTTTTGATGCTGCGACAATAAGTACATATTTAATAGAATTGTATTTAGTTTGACCAGTTATGTACTTATTATCAGCTTATATGGCAGTAAGTAGATAGCTCTATTATTATATTAAAACTATGACAACCAAAACTTTACCCTCTAGTACTCGGACTCAATAAGTTGAGGTGCGACTGGAGTGGCTTCATCGCACAACAAAGACGCTAACATTTATATAATACATAAATTTGGCATAAATTCTGCTTTTATCAAATATATGCAATCAGCGCCGCTAGCACTGTGTAATGAAATTATTTTACGATTTAACAATAACATCTAGAAATAGCAATATCGTGTTTAGTTGTTAATATCGCCAAACAATCTCTATTCATTGATTTGGTCAAACTATATCAATATATAGTCGGCAAACACTGTTAAACTTTATGAAATACCGCCATTTCACTTTCAACAATCGATTAATTTATGATATTATTAAATTCTTAGATCTGACCAATACATATATATAAAACTCTTTTTATTTAAAGTGTTAGGATAATAACAGTTTTGTACATAATAATTGCAATTTTTATCAGTTTATTTATAGATAAAAACTACCTACTAAAACTTTTTATAGATTAGAAATTAAACTTAGAAACATCCTTAATTTTGTGATTTTCGATAGGTGTCACTACTATCTATTTAAGATTTAAGTAGTAAATCGTTACTATAAAACAAAGATGTAAAACATCTTTGCTATAAAATTTATTTATATCTATTAAAATAAAATAACAAAAACTAAAAAATGTACATTAGAATTTTCAAATCAATTATGAATTTAATTAAATAACTTTATAATGCAAATGCAAATGTGGCAAAATGTCACTTTGTATTTTACGTTAGATGGCACTGTCTTCAAAAAGTAAATACAGGAATAATATCGTAGATTGTAGGCGTAGTTCAATTTATTACACAACGGTTAAAACTAATTTTGGGATTTATTTATAAATATTTTATTTATTTTAATAAAACACATCAATCGTATAAAATATAAATTAACATTTAAAGGAAGGAAAATACTTAACCCTCCTTTTTTGAAGTTCCATAATCGGATAAAAGCAGCCTAAAAGCATTCCCGAGCAAAATTTCATGGAAATCTGTTCAGTAGTTTTAGCGTGAATCTTTAATACACAGACAGGCAAAAGATCTAAAAAACACTAATTTGGCTACAGTTCCCTTTAATTAGTCCCCTGGACTTGTTTTTTCCAGAAAATGTTAGAATTACAGATACGACTTTTCTACAGATTTATTATATGTAGAGATTAGATACTTACTGTAAAGTTTATTTATTTCTACAAAAATTAAATAACAAAAGAACTAAAAAATGAGTCTTAGAATTCTCAAACAAATTATGAATTGTATTATGTGAATGTAACTTATTTATATTGTTTAATTTATTAGTAACTGGAGGCGAAATGTCACTACATTTTGTATTTAACGTCGGCGTAGTTCTGCGGTGTAGATCCAACAATCAGGTACAATCAGTAACAATAATATACCTGTTAAACTATTGTATTTTTAATATTACGGTTATCAAAATCCACTACTAAATATAGACCTCCTCATGGAATGCCACATAAGGGGCGTATAAACTTTTATAAGTGATTGTACTAATTTTAGTAGGATGTTGTATAATGCAGCCCTTATTTCAAAAACAAAAGATGCGTACTGTTCACATGCGGTAGAAATGAGACCTTCAGTAAATTGCGAGCGAAATTGCTTTGAAATAGCGCCATCTGCTACATTCTATAGGAAGTCATTTTATCGATCAAAAAATTGACTCTCAAGGTGGACACTAGATGGCCTAAACACGACTAATAATTAATATAAATCGATAAGTTGTGAAATCGTGGATCGTTATGAATGGATTAGATATGAGAATTTTATTCAATATGGTGTTTTATTTATTTAATGGATTTCTTTAATTTTTTAACTGTTTAGTTTAACAGATATAAGTTATAATATCCATCTTTAGAGTACCGCACAAAGAAGATACCGAGTTGATAGTAAAGACTGTATCTATACTGTAATCTATCTCATTCTCTCGCATCTTAAATCCTAGAGACGTATATGTTTGTCTCTTTAGTGTCACTTTTTCGTTTAATCAAGTTTCAAATCACAACGATTCTAAAAAGTTTTCACTTGAAAAATATTTTACTGTTAGGTTTAAACTATTCTGTTTCAATTAAAATCGTGGAGGGCTGTGCCGTGGATACGGCCTTATGTTTTATAGGCCCCCTCCGCGTCGTGCGACACTACACAGTCGTCACTCAATGTAACGAATTCTTTGATCTTTTGTGGTGTATTTTAATTTTGGATGTAGATGATAGATACGTAGCTACAATAGCAAACTCTATATCACGATTTTGTTATCAGTTTTCTTAATTGCCTTCCACTCAAAAATTCTTGTGGAAATATGCAAACTAAAATTTAAGGTATGTGTAATTTGATAGCTGTTAAATTCCGTGAAGAATAGCCACTACCAATAAACCACGTTTGTATTATGACCATAAAGGTTTTTAAAATAAAATGCGCTTTTGGTACAATTGTTTTATTTACACTTTTGTTCATAACTGTACTCGAAATATTTCAAAGCGTTGGATATTATTTCAAGCTACGTTTCGGTCTTCCGTCCCTGTTCAACTTGAGATGTATCAGCTTCATGTGAGTGTTGAGAACTCCAGACTGGGAGAAAGTGGCTGGGCACTTGCTGCACTGGTACGGACGCTCGCCGGTGTGCGTGCGAATATGAACTTTCAATATTGGGTTCCGCTGCGAATGAGAAATTATGGAATCACAATTGATTTTCAACAGTTCTTTTTATTAGAGATGTTAAAAATGTTATGTTAAAGATGTTAAAAATTAATTAACTAAGATCCAATGATAGTACCATGGCCTCACAGAATACCTGCATGAAGGAGAAGTAGTCATTATTCTGCGTTTGGCTTGGTAAGTATCTGGTGACACCCCCCAAACATAAAAGTGGTATTAAATAAATAAAAGAAATTAAATAATAAAAAACGTACTAATCGTGTATATACCTGTATTATTAATCCAAATAAGTATATTAGTATATTATGTGACTGTATATATAGAAAATATGTGCCCGTGTGTGTATGTGTATGTGTGTTATGCGTGTGTATATATCTATGTTTATGTATATATATTATATGTGTGTATCTATGTATTGCACTTAAGGTAGCCACTGAAAATCAGGGCTAGGATGACACATCTTAGCGTTTTCTGAGTGGCAGTCCTCCTTGGACCATTTCCCACTAAAAAAAAGTTTTTTTTTAGTTAGGTGTTCACTTCTTTGTAATGTATTTTGTATCTATCTGCTTTATCAAAATGATTTATTTTTTGTATATTTTATATATACATAATGTTTGTTTAGAGTATTTAGTGCTAATTTGCTAAGAAATGGCCAAATAAATATCTCTTGCTTTCAAATTGTGTCTTACCCAGTTTGAAGAGCACCTCGACCACAAAATCGATTATTTCATGTGAGAATGCCTTGTTTAGTGACGAAACACGTGTATAAATGTTACGTGGTGCGTCTTTCCCAGTGTAGTGGTGTTGGCATTAGTGGTGAAGGGGATAGTGCACGTAATGAACGCATTTACGACTTTTTCTGCCACCAGGGCATCGACTCTTAAAAATGAGGATATTTGACAGATGTCATAGTGTGGCAGTCAATTTGTTCGAAAAATGTAAAGGTTGATGTTCCTTTCTGTGCTATTAGTTATATTTTATATTAATTAAATTAAAAATAAATAAACAAAACCGCAGATGTTCACAAAAGTAGAAAAATTAAAAAAAAAACAGTTAAAAATGTGCAAAAAATTAAAGAGCAACTGAGGCATTGTTTTGCACAGGCCTCCCTTCATTTCTGAGAGGGTTTTAGGGCAAGGAATTGTCCGCCGCGTAGCCCCAATGCGGGTTGGCGTCTTCTACTTCACATGTCTTTTTTTTATATAATTCCTCAGACATGCAGGTTTCCTCACGATGTTTTCCTTCACCGCCGAGCACGTGATAAATCAGCGCTTAAAATTGCAATTAACAATTTCATTGGTGCCGGCGGGGATCGAACCCGGGTTACTCGCGTTCTGTTATATTTAGTATTTACTGCAAGCGTTAACCACCTGAGCTACCACGGCTCTCATTGTTTTGACTCATTGTTTTGTGTATTAATATAATACTCTAGAAACTGATAAACTTTTATTTAAAGCTAACTTCTCAATTATATGACGTTGTAAAATAAAAAACTTCACATCAGTGTCAACTAACGACATCTAGTGAGATGGTGAGATATCGGAAGATTATTAGCCCTCATATAGAGAGAGCGGGAGGGGCTCTTCAAACTCGATAAGACGACTTGTCTTACCTAGTTTGTATTTTATTTTATTATGCGGATCTTATCGAATTAATTTTTCACAACTTTGATATAATGGATTCCCGCAAAGTACCGCCAGATTCTATTAAGAGGATACCTTGACAATGAATCGAAGTTTTGGGGGCGTGGCTTATTCCTTTGTCGGTGAAGCTAATGGACGACTGAGGGAGTGTCAAAATGAAAGTGATGCAATGACTTCATAGTACGCAAATTATGAGATAGCCATACCGAGCAAGCGCTCGGAAAAAAACTAAGTAAGCGCCAAACAAAATTTTTATTTATTTTAACAAAACTTCGTTCTGGATTAAAAAACTGGTTTATGAGAACTTAGATATGATTATTTACTATGCTTTAAAAATAATTCCATGTAATTTTTGTAAAGATATTGTGGTGTCATCAAGAAATGTAAATAATTAGAGCTTACTTTGCAATTTTTTTCTATCGAGAAAATTACATGATATCGTGTTTTCCTTTTATGCAAACCAAGGTCAAAACTTCGTTCTGGATTAAAAAACTGGTTTATGAGAACTTAGATATGATTATTTACTATGCTTTAAAAATAATTCCATGTAATTTTTGTAAAGATATTGTGGTGTCATCAAGAAATGTAAATAATTAGAGCTTACTTTGCAATTTTTTTCTATCGAGAAAATTACATGATATCGTGTTTTCCTTTTATGCAAACCAAGGTCAAAAATCATATATCAAAATTTTGATTTGTAATCTATAAAATTAAAAAAATATGTTAAATAGAAAAACCACCAAATTTTCGTGGTATCACCTTAATTAGTTCTTCTTTTTAGCAAACTTTTATAGTCGACATCTGGAGGTGGGCTTATCCAACTGTAAGCAGGATTTTAGTACGTGAGGGTAATATGGTCATCCGGTTAATATGTTCACTTTCTTATAACTCAAAAACTACAGCCTTATTTGGATAGATAGCTAGAAGATACGATAGCTCTTCATCAGTCAATCAAATAATAAAGGGTGAAAAGGACGCTGCTTTATCGACGCCATTTTAACAGTTGGTATTACAGTAAATGTTTTAGTTGACTTTAGTATGGCATAATGTAGTTAGTTTTTATTGAGTTGATTTTTTGAAGTGTTCCTAATAATTGCAAAAGCTTTTTTGCTTTTTTATTAATATACTAGTTATAGCATACGACTTTGTGTCCTCATACCTAGGGGTATCCGAAAATACCCTATGTACGTAGGCGGTCCCATAATGAATTGGCCTAACTATGAACCAATGAAGGAAATGAAACGAAACGAATTTTATTTTTCAATATAATCACCATGAATACTAACACACTTCTGACATCTGTGAATCAACATCTCTAAACCTTTATAAAAATAATCACATTTTTTATCCTCAAAATGACTGAAGACGGCCGCCTGCAACTCTTCATCGCTTGAAAATTTTCTTCCTCTTAAGTCCCGCTTTAAATTTGGAAATAAATAATAGTCGGACGGGGCCATGTCTGGACTGTAAGGTGGATGTTGAACTTCTGTGAACCCGCATTGACGAACTGCATCCTTCGAAACACCAGCGGTATGAACAGAGGCGTTGTCATGGAGTAACAGGACACCTTTAGACAGCTTGCCTCTTCGTTTTTCCTTTATCTTGTCTCGTAATTTATATATTAAAGAAGCATAATATTCGCCGTTCACGACTGTATTACGTTCTTTAAAATCCACCATCAAAATGCCTTGAAAATCCCAAAATATTGTGCACATCAGTTTTTTAGTCGATTGTTGCACCTTTGCCTTTCTAGGGGGCTTTTCACCCTTATAACGCCATTCCATTGACTCGCGCTTGCTTTGTGGATCATAATACAAGATCATAGTTTCATCACCAGTCACTAGCCGCTCGAACACAGTCTTTGGTTTTTCGCCACAAAGATCCAAAAACTCCGAAGCGCAGAGCACTCTTTCCTGTCTCTGTACCGCTGAAAGAGGTTTCGGTACCCATCTTGCACTCACTTTTTTCGTGTGAAGATGTTCATGGATCGCGCGATGAACGGTACTCTTAGAGAGCCCAAGCCTTGCTGCAATTTCTCTAATCTTCAAAGGGCGGTCACTCAGAACCTCCTCTTCGATAAGAGCAATCGTTTCGGGAGTGAGCACTTCCACAGGTCGACCGTCGTGGCCAAAGCCTTCGACGGTTTCTCTCCCGAGGCGAAACTCTTTCACCCAAATTTTCACTATGCTATAAGAGGGGGCAGACTCCTTATACACGCCATCCAATCGTTCTTTTATTTGGGCAGGGGATAAACCTTCTTTAAACAGAAACTTTATGACACTTCGATACTCAGTTTTCGACATTTTGAAAAAATACGCGACTCTCGTTATTCAAATGCCTGTTAAACTAAGACTAAGCATTTCATGTCGATGCATGTTTCTTATATTAAGTGCACGATAAACGTACTATTTAATGCAACACAACATGTAGCGACATGTCGCGTTGGACTATATCAGGCCAGTTCATTATGGGACCGCCTGGTATGTTACGCGATTTTTTGTAGTTTTCGAGTTATGATTTTTTTACCCTTTTTTTGAAAATATTCACCCTAAACAGCTTAACATTAAAAAAATGTAATTGTGAAATTTTTTCCAAGTTTTTTTGTTTGTAGCATGATCCTTATGAGTTGCCCTATTATGCATAAAATAATTAGCTTCCTAACATTCACCGAAGATACAATAATTTTAAACGAAACTTAAAAATTTTCTGTCAGGAGAGTGGGGCTTGAATTTTCAACACTAAATGAAAAATAGCAATAAATGATTTCATACTTTCTAATTAATTTTAAAAACTTTGCAGTACCTTAATCTTTCATAACAACATTAAAAAATGACACTTAATAGGCCAGTTTTTTTGTTACAGACTTCTGAAGTTACTCAGGAAGGAAACTACCTAAATAGTTAATTTGATTTAAAAAATCTTTTTATCATTTCTAGGGCTAAACTAAGATAGTAAATGCTTCAGGTTAGCAAAAATAACATCAAGTGTCTTTACTTATTGTTTAAAATTTATAGACAACAAGGTATCATTTTACTACGTTCTGGACAAATGATTTCGAGATTCATAATAAAAGTAGTAAATAATTTAAGATAAATTTATTTAAAGTAAATTTTCGAAATGGCGGCCATTAACTTCGATATACAGTCTACATCGTCTTAAAAAATTTGCTTTTAGTCTTCGAAAAGCATTCGTATTTTCTTTGATTTTTTCTGCGCACTGTCTCAATTTTTCCCTTAATTCATTTTCCGAATTAATTTTTCTAGCATACACCATCTCTTTGTAGAATCCCCAAATAAAAAAAATCTATAGGGTTTAAACCTGGTGAGCGTGCAGGCCATTCGATTGGCCCTGCACGCCCAATCCACCTTCCTGGGAAAGTTCTGTTGAGGTGCTCCCTCACTTGTCTTTCAAAATGGCAAGGAGCACCGTCATTTTGAAATATCATATCCCTCCTCGTTTGTAAATTGACTTCAAACAATAAACCATTTAAATTATTTTGTAGAAAATTCAGGTACTGGGACCCGTTCAACCTAGACGACAATTCAAAGGGCCCAACCATTTCTCCATTTATGACTCCTGACCACATGTTGATACTAAATCTATTCTGAAAATTTGACTGCCTTGCTTTTTTTAGGTTTTCAAAGTCCTCACGGGTGACAACGCATCTGCATTTTGATTCGTAATCGAGGATAGATTTAGATGTCTATGGGCCACAGCAACCACTTACCATCAAGTGGACTGTGTGCTCGTTTATCACCCTATCCTATAAATAAAAGAGTATATTGTGGCCTACAGCCATCTACATAAATTATCTGTAAATATAACCCCTGAGGACTAAGATGGAATACCTCGTTTCCAGTAAAAAGGGTCTGCGGTTCTCTACACTCACCAGATGGCTATTTTACGCTGGTATTCTGTGAGAGCGTGGCCTTGCCAGGTCGAGCCGACCCATTCGTGCTACAAGCATAATATAGCTGCAGCGTGGCTCTACCACGTCCAAACTATATATCGATTGAGGATCACAGTACCAGACAACTGACGCCTGGCGTGAACAAGCTGGTCATAGCGTCTTCCATAGAGATCATGAAATCTTTCTAGCATTACCAGTAGTAGTCTTCAACGACACTTACGTGACGATCTACTACTAGGTGGTTTGACTCTTTCCACTTTGGAATCCGTCTGAGTATTTGCTTGCATTGCTCTGTTCCAGTCCTCGGGATATGTTTATATGTGGAAGAGCCATGCTGCAGCCATATTATAGTTATAGCACGAATAGATTGGCTCGACCGGGGAAGGACAAAGCTCTCACAGAATACCAGCGTAAAATAGCAGCTTAATACTGCTGTGTTTCGTATGGTGAGTGTAGAGATCCGGAGACCCTTTTTTATTGAAAACGAGGCATTCCATTTTAGTCCTCAGGGCTGACATTGCATCTGCGTTGATCTACGACTCCGTGGCGCGGTGGCTTATCAATGAGTGGATGCGCTGGGGCTCGCGGGTTCGAATCCCGCACGGAACAAGTATTTGTAAGGCCTACAAATAATAGTTCCGGGCCTGGATGTTTGTCCTTGTGCAATTTATGTTTGTAAACTGCCCCCACGATACAGGAGAAAATCCTAGTGTAGGGGTAACGTTTTAAAAAAAAAGATTCTCAATCAAGGATGAATGTAGATGTCCATAGGCCACAGCATCCACTTACCATCAGGAGGACTTGTGCTCGATTTCATAAAACAGTAATTGTGATTGACGCCCAATTCTTTTTACGAGACATACTCATCATTATCATCATTACAGACCTTCACAAGTTTGCTGCTGAACATAGGCTGCCCTTAAGGAATGCCACAAAGCACATTCTTGAGCCACCTCAATCCATCAGCTTCCTACATATCTTACCAAGCTGTCACTCCATATAGTTAATGCCGCCATACACTTCGCTTACCGGTACAAGGAAGCTTCTTCAAGCCGTATGGCCGACCCATTGCCACTTTAGTTTACCCATTTCTCAATGATGACTCAAGATTTCGATATTGATCCATGGTTTCAAGATACTTACGTCGAAAACTTTATCACACATCGGGCAGGGGTACTTGAGTGGCCGCTTGTACCCTTCGTGTACAACTTGCTTGTGTTCCTTCAATGACCAATTGCTCACGTACGCCTGGGAATATAACCAAAACTTCCAGATGACTGTTTTTTTTTCAAAAACTAAGCAGCAATGGGTATAGCTATGATCCCGAAACACATATTCGGAAAAAGGTTAAGAAAGCAAACAAAGACCCCCTTATGATTTCTTATACACTACTCACAAAAATTAAGGGAAATAAAAAAATCTAATAGGTATATCTAAAGGGTGATTTTGAACAAGCTGTAACTCCGAGGGAAATAATCGTACAGCAAAAAAAGCAAATATTAGCTCCGTGTCTAGTTTTTAGATCTGACCATAATTTTTTTTTATCATGTATGGTTCTGGAGTGATCCTAAGGAAACTATCGAATAAAAAAATTCCAAATATTTGCTCGTCTTAAAAAAGGTCTACGAGCCTAAAAATTTTTTTCTTAATTTCACTAGAAAGCTCTAGAAAATTTAATGGCCTTTAATTTGACGTAATCAAAAAGCCTTGTACGATGATTTTCCGCAGAGTTATCGTCAATCAAAGCAAAAAAAGTTCTTTTAGACTTTAATAATCAATAACTGGAAATAATGATCGTATAGCAAATTGAAGGCTTTTTATGACTAGTGTATTTACAAATGCTTGACATTGATAATTAATAACTAATTTTACGGATTCTATCACGTTTAATTATATTTATTTTTAACTCCGGATGCTCCAGGCGTCAGATTTGATACAGCACAAATCCTCGTAAAGGAAATTTGAATGCCATAACAACTGTAAAATTAGTTCCATTCACAAAGACTTCCTCCTCGTAAAATGCCGACCACGCACCAGTGATTCCTACGGTGTTGCGGATGTACGTGGGCGACGGTGATCACTTACCATCAGGTGAGCGGTATGTTCTATATAAAAATTCGATTCCATGATGTTCCGAAGATGAGCCAACTCTAACGTAATGTCGTCATGAATGCGCCATGCGTACAATGCTGGATATGACTGTATTTTTTATAGAATAAGAAGAAGAAGAGACTGCCTCGTTGGTCTAGTGGTTATAGTAGTGCGACTGCAGATCATGAGGTCCTGGGTTCGAATCCCAGGTCGGGCCAAAAAATTAATTATTGAGTTTTTCCGTCAAGAAATTCTCAGTAGTTGCCCGGAGTCAGGAAGTTGGCGGTGTCTCACCCCCGTGCCTCGGAAAGCACGTAAAGCCATTGGTCCTGCGCCTGATCTCTCTCCAGTCGTGTCGGTTTACCGTCCCATCGGATTATGAGAGTGAGGGAATAGAGAGTGCACCTGTGCTTGCGCATACACTTGGGCACTATAATCCTGACCTGCGCCGATGGCTAGCCTCCGTTGAGGCAGGCCGCCGTGGCCTAAATTCGGTCTGGAGGACATTTGATTATGGTTGACAAATGAGCGCAATCTGTCCACTGTCACTGATGTTAAGTGGCAGCTGTCTGTATTCCAACGTCTACTCCATTATGGATAAAAGTGCATGGATTGTTACCCCAAAAAACGGGTTGCCTGTTCTTTACATTCACCATAGTATCTGTGCAACAACAACAATTTTCGACTCACCAGATGTCGCTAGCTGGTTAGTTATTTCTTACCGTAAACAGAGAAACCTATAGACAAATTGACGCCTTCTTTCGCATTCGCACACGAAAAAGATAGATTTATGCATACGTCTTGCATAGAAATGAGACAGAGCGGTGTGATTGTTTGTCCCTTTCTCCGTGCCGGTTTTGTTTAGCAAACTACACTTTGCTAAACAACTTTGACAGTTCGTAGCGATCTAAGGAGTTTACAAGTAGGTTTAAGTGAGAAAAAAGTGTTTTGTGAGCTTTTAAGATTGGTGAATCTTGTTCAGTTTATTTCTTAGAACAATTAAAATTTTTATCTAAATATGTTTAAGTCATAAAGATTATTGTATAACCTAAAACTACGTTATCGTCCTTTCTCACTCGAGGCCACGCTAATCACTAGTCTATAGCTTTCTCTGTCTACGTTTCTTACACAGTGTCACCATAAGTGAACGCGTTTTAAATGATATTTAACAAAAATAACTCACCTTATCACATTTGTCACACTGAAATGGTTTTATATTGAGGTGTATTCCATTCATGTGCCTTTCCAAATCGCGTTTTATAGCAAATTTCTTATCGCAATGCGAACAAGCTAATCTGAAATCAAAAATATTATTTAATTAAATCTATTTTATTTTTTGTCATGTATACCTCAAAACTGAAAAGCAAATGTGTACAACCAGTGAACGTTACTAGTGATGATATATGGATCTGAACGGGATGGATCCTTTACTGCTGGACGTATGAGAAGCCGAGCTCGAGGCCGCTCAGCGAGCTACGGAGATGGCTATGTTCGAGGTTTCCCTGTGTGATATACTTAAAAATAAGGAAATCCACATTAGAACCAGAGTAACCGACAACCAATGCGGAAGAAAAGTTCTCGAGTGGAAGTCATGGATGCAATGGCTCAGGACCGTGCTTATATTCGGCAGTGGACTTGTAATTATGGCTGTAATGATGATGATGATAATAATGACGATGATGATGGTAATTCTAATTAGTAACGCATAAAATACCTTCACGAAAGAGAAAGAAATTAAAGCAGCATTCTTACTTGTTTCATACTTAGAAATTAGAACAGGTTGTTAGCCATGAACAAAAGACAAAACATGAAAAGAATAAAACTTTACTTTTTAATTTATGTAGATGAATTTTTTTGGAATAACAAATAAGTTCGTAGTCAAATAATCATGTCCATTATTGACCTGAAAATATTCTAACGTGTCTAGTGATATAAAATATCTTATAAAATTGCATATGTTTTTCTTATTTCGTATCGCATTATCGAATTTTCATATTAAGCCTCAATAGACTTGGAGACGGAATGTGTTTTACAATGGCTCAAACACCTAGAAGCTATACCAAAATATATTAAAATCGTGTTTTCTACGTTCTATTTCAGACTAGGAAAAACTTGTACATTCGTTATGTGTTTTATTAATGTTCAAAATAACCAATTTCTTTTTTAACACTTATTAATTTATGATTAGATACGATTTTCAATGGTTTTATACTATGGAGTGGAAAGAAAAATAAGTGTACAGACTTAATCTGACAGCTGTTACAACCTCAAAATTTTATTTACTTAATAGCATTTTTCCCTGGCGTCTAAACTAAAAGATGAAAAGTTATTATGTTATTACAAACAATAATTGTTTATATACAACAGTAGTTGTAAGTAGACGCGACCTGTTAAAGCAATCAAATTGAATCTGCACTTAGCTTAAATATTAGATAATAGCTTAAGAATTTAATGTTTTTCGTGTAAGATTTGTTGGCTGTCCTTAATAAATAAATAAATCAAGTGACAGGTCAAGCAATGTACGGAAAGTGGGCATGTTTCTTTCTGCATAATGCGTAATGACCACTCTGGACCATAGACAAATGGAACTAATTTAAATCAATATAATAAGTTCATGAGATTTTATTGGTTACTGGTGGGGGCCAATTTAGTCCTCATGAGCGATAAAGCTCTCTTCGTACTTTTTAATGACCGGCAACGCACCTGCAATTCTCCTGGTTTTGCAGTTGTTCACTGTCGGTAGTAGTCATTTACCATCAGGTGAGCCGCATGCTTGTTTGCCCCCTCTCAAAAAAACAAGTCACTAAAGCTAGCATTCTATCTGACTGTCTGTCTGTTAAATTTTAAATCACTCCTGCTCTTCAAACTAAACCTCCCTAAATTTCACAGTATATGAGAACGTTGGATCTCCGTCGATTTGATCACATACTCAGTTAAAGAAAAGCATTGTAAGACACCCAGCGCGCCTCAAAAAAATATATACGATGAAAACTTACGGTAAATCATTGTAAACGACGTGTGGCGTGGCTATTTTCAAATGTTGTTTCAAAGCGCCCTTTGTCTTAAAGCGCCTGAAAAAATTAATATAATGGTATAGAAGACGTCACAGAGATTATGTGGATGTGAACACAGCTGTGAATTATGTGGAGTAAAATTAATTATACTTCATAATAAAATTCAAAATATTTATTGTAAGTTAAGTTTTATTTGGCGTATCCACATGACCATGGTTGCTACAAAACATTCCGATAAAAAATCATTCACATAAGATGAACGTGAAAGCTTCAGTAAAGTAGACAAGAGTGGGAGGCTACGAAGCACTGTACAAAAAGGAGACCGATTGTCTCGGTTGGAGGAAACACTGTGTACTATCTATCTCATTCTTTTGCGAGCTAAATCCTATATATATATATATATATATATATATATATATATATATATATATATATATATATATATATATATATATATATATATATATATATATATATATATATATATATATATATATATATATATATTATTATTATTATTATTGTGGGGTATCTATATAGTTTTCTCATCTGGTTGGGTTCTATAAATATATTATTATAAATGAAAATGAAAAGATAAATATACATAAATATCAATAACATAAAATAAATATAAAAGTACATAAATAAGTAAAAGCCCAACCAGATGGAGGCCCTCGGCAGGGGAGACCAAACGGCCGAGGGTTAGGGGGAAAGGGAAAGAAACCGGCGGACGATGCGGGCGGTATCGAGGAGCACCGCCTTCTGCATTTGAACCTGGAGCGGTCCGCCACGTAGTCCCAGCCGCCTCAGATGACCCGAGAGGCTGACTGGGATTAGCCCGTTTGCAGAGACGACTACAGGAATAATTTCGGTCGGCAGACCACCCCACATGTCGGTCACCTCGTGAGCCAGGTCCAGATATTTTGTTTGCTTGTCTGTTTCGGCTTTCACGAGGTTCTCGTCATACGGAATGGTAATGTCGACCAAAAATATCCTTGACTGTGCCCGGTCCATCAGCACAATATCAGGCTTATTCGCTAGAATAGTCCTGTCTGTGATGATGGTCCGGTCCCAGTAGAGCCTGGCGCGATCATTTTCGAGCACGGCTTCCGGCAAGTACTTGTAATACGGCAATTTCCGATCCACGAGACCGTATTTCAGAGCGAGCTCCTGGTGTAGAATTCTGGCTACTAGGTTGTGCCTGTGCAAATACTCAGAGTTAGAAAGCGCCGAACAACCGGAGATAACATGCCTAAGTGACTCACCGGGATGGCGACAAGCTCGACAGATGTCGACGGTGCCATCCTTTAGGATGTATCTCCGATAGTTGTTGGTCTTAATAACCTGATCCTGTATTGCACAGACAAAACCCTCGGTTTCCCCGAAGAGATCACCAAAGCGTAGCCAGTGGAGGGAGGCTACTGTGTCTACGAAAGGCTCATGTAGAGCCTTGTAGAACCTCCCGTGGAGCTCCTTCTCCTTCCATACGGTCTCCCGGTCGGAAATGCTCTGCACTGCCGGGTCTTGCCATTGCTCGTTGGCTAAGGATAGAGGGGTAAGTCCTTTATCACAAGAAATGACGTCCTTATAGAATGGATCATCCGATCTCGCAAGGAAGTAATCACGGAGGCTGCACACTTCGCGATTATGCATGGTGAGCGCGCTCAAGAAGCCACGACCACCATGCTTCCGCGGCAAGTACAGCCTCATTACCGACGATCTCGGATGATGCATCCTATGGGACGTCATGGTAGTGCGGACTTTTCTATCCAGGGCGTTAAGTTCAGTCTGAGTCCACCTGAGTATGCCAAAGGTATACATGAGGACAGGCATGACCCAACCGTTATATGCGTGTGCCTTATTCACACCGGACAAAAGGCTGTTAAGCACTTTGGTCAAGCGTGCATAAAACACGTCGCAAACTGACTGTTTCATACCAGCCTCATCGATACCGATGTTCTGTGACATACCCAGGTATCGGTATGTTTCAGCCTCGGAAAGGGTTCTTAAGTTGACGGGCATAGATAAGTCTATGCCCTCAGAGTTAGCAACCCTTCCCCTTTCAACATGAAGGACCGCACACTTATCCGTCCCCAGCTCCATTCTAATAGAATTGCTAAATTCACACGTGATGTTTAGCAATTCCATAAGATGGGAGCGACTGGAGGCGAATAATTTGAGGTCATCAATATAGAAAAGGTGGGTCACTTTTGTACCTCCTTTCCGAAGCTGAAATCCCCTCCCGGAGCCCTCCAGTAAAGTACTGAGAGGGTTCAAAGAGAGGCAGAACCAGATTGGACTCAGACAGTCGCCCTGGAATATACCCCTTCTTATCCTTATGCGGCTTTCCGCAGCCGTCATCCGCTCGCCTAGATGACAGAGGATCGTACTCCACTGCCCCATACACTGCTCGAGGAAGTCTCGAACTGTACAGTCAATCTTGTACAGCTCGAGGACCCTCTTTAGCCATGTATGGGGCACCGAGTCAAATGCCTTTCTGTAATCTATCCAGGCGGCGGAGAAGTTCCGACGGTTGCATTTCACCACTTTGCCAATGACCGCGTCAATGAGGAGTGGTTCCTTGGTTCCACGACCGCCGCCCCGACATCCATTTTGAGCGCGCGACATCACCTGATTTAAGTCCAGGTGACGAGCGATTCTTGTGCTCAAAATGGATGTTAGTGTCTTGTATATGGTCGGTAGACACGTGATGGGGCGGTATTTGCTCGGGTCTGTGGCACCCTGATCTTTAGGAACCAAATGAGTGATCCCAGTAGTGAAGAGGCTTGGGAGCGACTTCTGGTTGAGAGCCTCTTGAAACTGTCGGGCGAGCACAGAGTGACACACCATGAACCCCTTCAGCCAGTAGTGATGCAGCCCGTCAAGCCCCGGACTTTTCCAGTTCGGGGCCCTACGGACCGCCTCAGCTACGTCATCCGGCGTTATGATGACGGGGTCCATGGGCGTAATACTCGCACACTGACTCGCCACAACTTCCGTCCAAGGGCCCTCGTTGTGGTTTACGGGCTCTGACCACAGGCTGCGCCAGAATGCGACCATGTCGGCCTGATTTGGTGCAGGGCCCGTTCCACTTACTATTGGTCGCTCCACTGATTTATAGAGCCTCTTCTGATCACTCTGGAAGAGACGATTCTGGTTGAACCGTGTCGACCTCTCGGTATATCGCCGAATCCGCTTTCCCCAAGCAGCTATTCTTTGCTTCAGGTCGTCTATGCGCTCCGTCAGTTTTTGCATTATATCCGGCTGGGACAAACTAACATTTGTCCCAGCAAACGCCATCCTGACGGTGCGCACAATCCTTGGCCTGGTATTGCCTGACCTGAAGCATATCAGTCTGCCGATGAGGGCCCTAGCCTTTGCGATACGTTCTTCAATTCTTATTCTCCAGGCTGGGATAGCACTACTTTGTCCATTAGCGCGTCCAGCCGTCGAAAGTTTGGCACCTATAATACGGCAGACTGCCAGTGCGGCGCCAAAAAGAATTGAGTCCGTATCGCAAAGGTCCCGGCTGGCTTCCAAATAGGTAACCAGCATTGGGTTCAGAGCCCTCACGACAGCCCGATTCCGCTTGCTTAGGGCTAAGCGGGGAAGTCGCGGTCGATTTTCAAGAGTCGTACTGCGCGTTTCCACAATCGCCTCTTCCAATGTACTCCTCATTTGCTTTATTATTATTATTACGAGCTTAGGGTTCGTGACAATAATAACTGCCGATTGAATTACCAAAATGAACACCAATTAAAACTTAAATCACACTAATAACTAATCACACTTACCACTTTAGTTCACTTTATTTCGCTCCGAAAGCTTCGCTCATATTGTCAATTCAATACTGCCTCGGTCGCGGCCACCGATGGCCTTAAATAGGCTCTTTCCACCGAATTATCCAGAATGTTCCAGCAAATACTGATCCCGAAAGTAAAAAAAATACTACCAAGACATGTGAAGTTGGGGATTAGGGTAGCACGGCGGACACTTCCACGCCCTAAAAACGTCTCAGCTATGAGAGGATGCCTGTGTCCAGCAGTGGGACGTATATATTATGTAGTAACTTTAACTTTTTTCTAACAGGAGACTTTGGGAAAACTAAAGATATATTTCTTCATAACATTCTTTATAGCGGTGTAACCATCCGACTAAGTGCAGAAAATTCGGGTGTAAACTTTTCTAGAAAGCTTAATTCTTCTATTCGATACTAGATGGCGCTGTTGAGAGAGTTCTAGAAAGATCTTGACACTTCTATTTCTGATACTTGATACCAGATGGCGCTAGTGCCATCAACTGTGGCGCGCAACAATATGTTTGTCTCTTTTTATCGTTGCTTTCGTTTTATCAAGCTTCAAATTACAACGATTCTAATGAAGTTAACAGTTTAAATTAAGACACACATCACTTACTTATCACACTCGACGCAATAGTAGTCCCGCTTGTGCGAGTGCTTGGTGCTGTGCATTTTCAGCTGAGAAGGCGTCTTTAGAGCCTTGCCGCAAACTTTGCACATGTATCTCTTCTGTGCATCTACGGGCGACACTTCCTCTGCATGCTTTCTGCAAAAAGGGAATTATTTTATCGCGTTTAATTTACTTATTTTTATACTTTTATGCATGAGGTCCATGAGGTATCGCATTAAGTAGTTAGCCTATTTTTTTAAATCTTTATACTAGTTGTGTTTTTATTTAACTCAGATTTTGTTGACGCTATCCTTATTAAAAAAAGGCTAAATCAGAATAATTTTTATTTAATATAGATTACATGTAATACTCATTGAAAGTCATCTTTTACCATTGGTTTGGAAAAAAACCTTTGTCCGAGGAAGAACCAGCAAGAAACCCAGCAGGAATTTTTTTTAAAGTACAATCTACAGTATATTTTATACCTATGGGTCATTATCAATCAGTACTCTTTAGTAGTATAATGACCCTTACTAAACAATTTTTGCTTACTAAATATTTTAAACCGTTTGATAGATAAGATCTGCATATTTATTAGTGCAATTATATATTTATTTTTTTAATTATCGGACATCAAGAGCGAGCGCGCACTCAGCCATCTGAGTTGCCTCGAGGTATGGGCGGAACTGAAAACCAGTGCTATCACGGAGTTCCGTCCTTTTCGCAGTTTCATGCTGCAGCACAAGGTGTTTTTAAGTATAATATCTTAAATTTAATAATAATGTCCTCCAGACCGAATTTAGGCCACGGCGGCCTGCCTCAACGGAGACTAGCAATCGGCGCAGGACAGGATTATAGAGCCCAAGTGTATGCGCAAGCACAGGTGCACTCTCTATTCCCTCATTCTTATAATCCGATGGGACGGTAAACCGACACGACCGGAAAGAGATCAGGCGCAGGACCAACGGCTTTACGTGCTTTCCGAGGCACGGGGGGTGACACACCGCCAACTTCCTAACTCCGTGCAACTACTGAGAATTTCTTGACGGAAAAACTCAATAATTAATTTTTTTGGGCCCGACCCGGGATTTGAACCCAGGACCTCATGATCAGCAGTCGCACTACTACAACCACTAGACCAACGAAGCAGTCTTAAATGTATCTTAAATTTATTATGTTGGTAAATATTTCGTTTCATTTATTTTTTGCGTACATGTTGTGTTACATGCTTAAACTGGAATAAACGAATTTCTTTCTTTCTTCCCAATAGGAAAAGAAGAAGCCGTGGTACCTCAGATGGTTAGCGCTCGCTGTAAATTTCACATTACGCGAGATACCCGAGTTCGATCCCCGCTAGCACCATATCTGAATGTCTGAGAATTAAGAAAAGAAATACTAACAATACATGTGAAGTTGGGGCATGGAGCACTCACACCGCGAAATGGTCGGCGGCGTACTCCCCCCGTCATCGAGAGTCGAGTGGGACGCAAAGAAAGAGCCTAGATACATACATCGACTTTTAGCATGTCTTAAGGCCCCGGTCTTGTAAAAATTTGTGTTCTCGCATAATTTACAGCAAAACAAATATTTTTTTATGGTAGTTAAGAAAGAAAAAGTAAAACATATTTTACATTTATTAAAAGTGTAGGATTGGATATTTTGGAAACTGTTTTTTAATTTTATTTTGGTGTTTAAATTAATAGCTCTATTAGGCGTTAAACATACCTATGTTTAGGTTACATGCGTAAAAGTTCTTATTAAAGCCTCTGCTATGTACAAACTATAACAATATCAAGAAAAGTATTCAGATCACATTTATTTAAATATTGTCTACAATAATCTGATCTGGTCATTTTTTTTATAAATGCTGTAATTTCATGAATTTTTGTCTGCCAATATCTAATTTTTTCTATTAGAAGTATAAATGTGGCAAAGTCGTACTTAAAGCCACATAAAGTATAACTATTTTCAAGTAAATTAGAAATAAATAAAATTAAAAAAAAGTTATATTTTCGTACTTTTTACCTATATACCATTTATAAACTAGAAACGCGTGAAAGTTCTCTCAGTTCCGCTGGGATTTCTCAGCGTTCAGACGTGTGCTGTGTCGTTCAACGTTATTTTACCTCTCGCTCGCACGGTTGATCTCTTTCACTCGCGCAGCTCTTATGGACTGACAGGAGCATATCGTGAAATTTGCTCTACATAAATATATATTATTTTTATTTAATTGTACATATTAGTTCTAGTTTTTAGTGTGTAAGTGTATTAGTGTTTATATTAGTATTAGTGTGTTAGATTAATAATTGACTTTGACTTCTATTTGGTGAATTTCAATTTACAAACAAAATAAATAAACGGAAAAAGATGGATGGAAAAAAAGAGGAAATATCCTTGTGTTAGTATAAAGAAATGTAAAGCAAGAGTTGAAGTGATGAAAAGAAACAGACTAAGCAGGTATGTTGAATACCACCTAGGTATAGGTGAATAATATTGATATAACTATAGTTAACAAGTGTAATTTGAGATATTATTTATCGCATTATCTATACATACGTACAACGTGCTGCTACAAAGGCGACGTTTATATACGTGGTAGAGCCATACTGTAGTTATATTAGATGTATATTTGTAGCACGAATGGGTCGGCTCGACCGGGGAAGAACCACGCTCTCACAGAATACCAGCGTGAAATAGTAGCTTAACGCTGCTGTATTTCGTATGGTGAGTGTAGAGAACCGGAGACCCATTTACTGGAAATGAGGCATTCCATCTTAGTCCTCACGGGTGACAACGCATCTGCATTTTGATTCGTAATCGAGGATAGATGTAGATGTCTATGGGCCACAGCAACCACTTACCATCAGGTGGACTCTGTGCCCTCTCCTATAAAAAAAAACAAATATGTTTTCACATTTTCGTTTCATGAAGCAATTATTTTTCAATTAGACGTTATTATTTACGGATTTATTTAAATTTTAGAAACTAGCATCTTACTTATATAATAATACAATCTATACTTAGCTACTTAGAGAACTGTCGGCGAGCGGGCAGCGCAGGTAGCGCAGGTGACGCGTGCCCTGTGAACGTTTCCGCGTAAAAGACGCTTACCTATTGTTATATTTATTGTAATTAGGATAGTGATTAGTAGGGTTATGGTACTGCCATAAAGACGCTTTGTTTTCTAATCTAGTAAGTACGTTTACATTTTTTGCGACACGGACGCTTTTATTTGCTCATTACTATCGATATTGATGACGAGCAATTGTTTGGAAATATTCTTATCTGTCTTTATGTTTGTACGTGTGTGTTTAATTTATCCCGAAAAATGCAAGGTCCGTCTCTATTATAATAGAATTCATTAAAATAATATTATTTTTATTTTGCTTGGATTGTCAGTAATTTATTTACGTGACCTTTATTCTTTTCAGTAATGTCAATGCCACTGCGTCTACCGATGTCAAATTTTAGCAACACTTGCCCTCCAGTAAATGATATTATGCCATGGTAACATTTTCTGTTGTTACCTTTTTTGATTAAAATATATACTTTAATGCCATATTAACTTTAATACTTACATATACAATACATATAATACTTTTCGTTTTAGTGATCAAGAGAACAAACCTCAATATTCTTCTAAAAGTATTTTAATACCAACTAATGGTTCTAAGGAAACAAAAGGACAAGATGTAGCAAATAAACCCCAAAATGAAAACTCGGTACATATACAGTTATTTTTGAGTTTTTTTTATATACATAGTTAATTAGCCAGTTATCGTGCATAAAAAACATGGTGTACATGTTTAATATCTACAATATCGCATTTGTTTTAAAATTGTTATTCCTTTTTATTTATGTACACAAATAAATACTTGCAGTTTTGCTATTTAAAAAAGCTAATAATAATAAAAAAATTTGTGTAGCAATCCCTATAAAAATGTAAAAGTTGAAAAGATCGAATGTAGAAATCACCTATTAAGAAATTTTTGTACTAAAATGCGCCTTCTTATAAAAGATACTCAAATCGCTTTTCAACAAAGAAAACTTTTTACACAGACAAAAATAATAAAATTGAGAAGATACATTGTACGTGCAATAAAGTTGAGAAAACATGCAGAAGATTCTCAAAACATAAAGATATCCAATGTAAACGCAGATATTTACAATGTCTTACACCACGCCTTAGGAAACCATACTAACTGTGTAAATCAGATATGTCCTGCAACTGACAAACTCGATATAAACGTTGCACAAAATTTATTAAACACCGCTCTGTGGTTAAAAATGAGCCAACCCCTTTCATATTTGGCGTCAAACGCCAAAAGCTTGATTTTTGATGTGGATAGCAACATAGCCGAAACATTTAACTCCGTAATAGCAAAATATGTTGGTGGTAAGAGGATAAATTACACATTGAGAAACTCTTATCAAGAGAGATGTTCAGCTGCTGCCATTTCATTTAATACAAAAAAACCAATCACTGCAGTCAACAGGTTTATATTTAATAAAACATCGGGTAAATATGTGAGAATATACACACAAACTTAAACAAAAAAAATATACTAGACAGTTTAGAAAAAAGTTTTGCGCTGCTTCAAAAGTGAACGACCCAGATTATGGTGCATACGCTCAACGCCCGGACATGTCCGAGGAAGTATTTGAGGTTGCAAAACAACACTTTTTAAAACAATTAGAAGTGACTATAGAAGAACGAGACAATATTCAAAAAAACACTTTGCAACAGAGCCATAGTCAAGATTGGATTGAGCAAAGAAAAAAGAGACTGACAGCATCAATATTTGGAAAAATTTGTAAAAGAAAAAAATAATATTAGCTGTGCGCCACTAGTAAAATCAATAGTTAGCTCAAAAGACTTATCGTACATATCATCTATTGTATACGGAAAAGCAAATGAGGAAAAAGCATTACTGCAGCTGTACCGTCAGGAAAAAATAAACATTTCAAAATGTGGACTTTTTGTTCACAAGACGTATTTCTTTTTTTTGGCTGCTACTCCTGACGGCATTTTCAAGGATGAAGAATAAAAAACAGGCATCGTGGAGGTTAAATGTCCTTTTGCTGCCAAAGATATGCACCCTGAAGACGCCATTAAAGAGAAAAAATAACCTTTTGGAAATACGACAAAAAGAATA